ACTTTTTCCGAAGGCACAAGAATTATCAATAAGACAAATGATGGCGACAGGCTGTCGTAAACTACAAGCAAATTCTGCGGCGACGACGAAGAATTAAATATTAGACTCAACATGAACAAAACTGTTAATCAATTCAACTGATCCTACAACGTGATAACCGATAACCTCGATAATCGAGTGATACTGAACTTGATCGACAACTGAGAACAACTCCGAAACTCTATGCATATATGACGTCACTGAATAACATGGACGAAACAAACTCCTCAAGGGTTGGACGACGCCACGACGCAGTCGAAACTGGTGGTTAGGCAAGATCGCGTAAGACTCTTCCTCGATGGTTGAGGGTGAAGAGGGGCCTGGGCTTGCTCCGTACAACGTGATGCTGGATTGCTTGGCGTCCCACGGGGCAACAACAGGGCTATGCCACGTGACCACGCAACGTGATTCTCAGGCAGCTGATCGCAGTTGATCAGGGGAGGACCAGAAAGAGAGACGAAGAGCTTCCGCTTTCAAAATGACCGAACTTCACGGTCCAATGCATAATTTTCCTGCTCCCAGGTTCGATTCCTGGCCGGACCGAGCTATCCTGATAGAAGTACTCCGTGGTTTTCAAAATTACCTCCAGTTCTTACCTTAAAGAAAACACAACGCGTCTCAATTACAAATATCAATAATTTCTTTAACCTGTTAAAGAAAATGATCGCTGTTTATTTTGAGTATAAAACTAAACCCATAAACACACTCTGTGGGAAAAATTATCAAGAGGGAGGTACATATAGTTACAACTGGATTTTAAATGGTTAAACCAGAGAAAGACCGATTCCGACCACACCTTTTCGAATTGATCATTCATAATCAATTTTATATTCAACACTATTCAACCAATGCAGATGAATAAGTGTCGTCAAATAAAATAGAATACAGGCAAACAATAAATAAAAAGCAGAACGCTGTTTCGTCTTGCACTGAAAGCCAACTTGGATAATGGCACTCATATCGATTTCTTGGAATAAAGAAAACTGTAGTTGGCAACTCTGTTTCTGTGCCGAATGATTCGAACACAGCCTGAACCAACATTTCTACCTTAACGTTTCAAAAACCGACGTAGTAGGTATTCAATACATAAAAAAAAAAAAAAAAAAAAAAATGCTACTCTTTCATAACCCTGAATTCACAATTATATCGGTCATTACATTACTTACGTAATTGTCTTTACAGATCATGACGACATTTGCATTCCGTATTTCAGGAAAGAAAATGTCTGTCGACGTCACAAATTTCTACAGCGATAATTCATATTACACGAATGCACTACAAACTAATGAAGAATAAAAAGAAGAAAAAACCGTGGTGTAGTCGCCTACTAGCATTGAAAGAAACCATAATTTAAGCCCACACATTTTATTTTTATGACCTCCTGTTTCTATACTTCATAAAATTATTATCCTCTAAAAACATGTTACTCATTACTTGGTCGACGCTACATAAACCGTGTAGGATATGAGTTTTTCACGGCGAGTCTGAAGATAGCCGTCTTCTGGGTTGTTGCGCCGCGTGTGCGATAATCGCCCTGATGACGGAGGCAGCAAGGACCTCCGAAACGTCGGTAAACTTCTACCAGACTACATGGCGCAACAACCCAGAAGACAACCATTTTATATATAAAATTACCTATCAACATTGTCGTTAAATAAACCACAAATAAACAAAAACACTGATGTTTGGATGTGAAACTTTCAATCGCCTCTACCTTACCACAAGATCTCATTTCGAGGTGACGCTGCTCCTTCTAGCAGGCAAACTATTTGCACTAATCAATCTGTTCTAAAATCAGCTTGCAGTTGTTTCTCCAAGACTAGTCCTACGCCGTGGTACGAGCGAACGACAGAAAATAACGACACTTACAAGCCAAGAACTGCCGGTTGTATCAACTCCGATCTTATCAAAATTTCTGAATCCCATTTAAAGTAAATTGCCAGCAGATTACTACTTCTTCAAGTATCCTGGGATTGAGTATAGCGGTTAACAAATACAGACAATTACAAAGTACTGCAACAAGTCCGATTTATAGCGCCGTGCTGACGCGGCAACATCTCCAGCACACGTACGCTGCAGTTAGTCTTAAGCACGGACTTTCAGGCGTTGTGACACGTCATTTCCTAACTCGCGCTAACAAAAAATTATAAAATACAGTAAATTGTAAGTAATCTCGGAAATATAAGCATGTTAATTATGAAATACTATCACAGTTCTTGTTACTTTCACCGTTATAGATTTAAGCACTAGAACTATTTCCCCCCAAAACATTTTTGTAAAATGTTAAAAATGCGAACATAAACACGCAGCCAATATTCACGTATATTTTCAAAATTTGCTTGGTAGGACATATTTCATATTTAACAGGGAAAATGGCCGACGGACCTAGAAAAGGCGTACTTTTTCCGAATACCTCTAGTGGAAATATTACGAAACGTGACACTTCATTAACTAACTTTATGTTAGTTCATCGACTACGTCCGGGAGCGCTTGTGGGGAAGCAAATTTCCTTTCTGAAATGTTACAATGTGCTCAAGAAGCTGAAGCTGAAGAAGTATATTCCGTACAGGAATACACGTAGTAACGTCACGCATTATTTGAAATGTGCATTTAGAGACATTATATCGCAGCACCTCTATGTCTATCCCACGAATTTCCTCATCCGTCATTTTATTATCACCTCTCGTAGGAAATTCAAAAATAAGTTTCTGAGTTCGTGCAGAATAGCACAATCTCCACACCAAATTTCATCCAAATCCGTCCAGTGCTTCTAGAATTGAATTGACTGGACGGACGGACAGACATAACAGAACCATAATGCGTTCTCGCTATGCACTTCATGCAAAGAACGCATAATAAACAGAAACTGAAGACAAAATCCACGACATGAACGCCTTTAGAAATATTACAGCAGCACGTAACAAAAGGAACTCCAGCAGAGTGATTAAAGACATTGAGAGCATTTCTACTTCGTTCACAAATTATATTTTTTACTGAAATATTCAAAAAGAGAATTAATTACAATAGGAACAGTTTAATTAAAAATTCGTAACATGAAAGCTAGAAAAGAAACAAAAGGAAATGTAACTATGTTCAGCTTGTCTTAGATCACAACTGCTCTCAACAAGTGGCTACGGTCACCCAGAATAAAGTTCGCATGTTCTCACGAAACTCAATAAAATTTAAACTAGGCCAGTAACCAGAATTTCCTTGACAAGTAAAAAAAAAATTCAACAAGCAAAGTAAATAAAATGCTGTGGTTGATGGTGATGAATATGAACATTCACAAAAATGCAGAGCTGTTGGTGAGACGGTGGGACCAATGCAAAGAACACGTGGTTCGATGATGAGACCGCTGATAAAAGGCCGTAACCACAGTGCAGATACACCCAGTACCAGAGAAACTGCCTCTTATCACAAGCACAGAGGGGTTAAGGAAGAATGGCATCACGAATGCACTTTCCACCTGACCGATACAAAACACAGCGACACTCAATGTCACCCACAGCTGTCCATCGACGGCACAAGCAATGACCAGCCCTCCGCCCAAGGCCATCAAGCAACCAGGACAGTAACAGATAAATTCTTATTTATGATTGTCATTTAAATGTATCAGAATACCGTTCCCCGCCACGTGCAACCCTATTATGGGGTCCACCATAATTATGGATGTTAATCATTACTACGCATAAAGTTGCCCATTTCCAAGCTGTATTTCGGCATTTGGTACAGAGTCGCGTATTAACTGGCTTAAATGGTGCTACGTGGCAAGATTAATTATCACGCCATGTCTTTTAGGCGTTATTTAAGTTCACAACCTCATAAAGAACTGCAATACAACAGCATAAAAGAACCTTAAGAAGTGTTGCATTGCCAGACACCACTTCTCTAATGTCGTCGTATGAACCGCGCTGGAAGAAATCAACACGCTTGACATATTGATGTTTCCCTGAAAATGTGTGGGAGGCCATCACAAGTCAGACAAGTCACATCACCTTCCGGTGTATTTGCCCTGGAGCAGTCACGACGGAGAAAGTTCTACTGCCCACAGGAGGCAGCAGGGTGCAATTCCTTTGTCTTCACTGTGGCAGTTCTTTTTTCCAAGAAAGGCGAAGAAAGTCTGAGGCACCGTGTTCTGTGTGAGTAGGTCACGCGCGAGGTCAAACAGGAAAAATGTCCTCTATGACCTCAAGTCAGAAGAAAAATATAATATTCTTTCTTCAAAATGTATGTTTTTCAATTCTAATACTGAATTAGCTACAATGGATCAACTGTTCAGACTAAAAATATAGGTAAATATACATGCAAGCTATTCAATCCTTGTGTATTTCACAACTAATGGGCAAAGATCATCAGACATCAGAAATAATGGAGAAAGATCACACAGGCTGTTTCTTTTTTTTCCCCCCCCCCCCCCCCCACCAGACACTTTTGAACGATTGTTAGAATTTTCGCTTGATCAGTTCTCTGTTTTTCTACTGTCCCACGCACAGCCAGTGTTGGCCGCCAACTTCCGTCTCCTACAGTCGACAGGTAGCTGTGTTATTGTCCGCGTCAGTCTACATCCAACCAGATCACGACCGATTCCTTGCATTCCTATCCAATTCATTATTCATTAATCGTCCTATGTTATAGCTGAACTACTGACAGCGTTGTTAAATAAAGAATAAATAAATAACAATACGTTTATCGTTTTATGACATTAATTTTCAGACAGATTTAATCCTTCCTAGATCCATGTATTTTTCTAACTATTTCCTTTTAAAATATGCTACCTATTAATATTTTAATAAATCAGTATAAAAACGGAATGTATGAGAAGGAAATTCTTCACGCACAAATATAGGACAATAGATCAGAGACCCACGTGGACGTAACCATGACAACCAAGGTGCCAACACGTGGGCAACAACGTGAAGAAGCAACACGTGACCTTGCTACACTTAGTCCGATTTAAAACAACAGAACCAGTTACATCAACATGGAAACAAACAAGCAAACAACAACTTGTCACTGTTTAGCAACTTCACTTGTTTCAGATGGAGAAATAATTTTCCTTCCTCAAGTCAGAGCAAACAAGCACCAGGTATGGCCCATTCTAATGAAAATACTCATAATGAATGATGCGTAATGTGTTCTCTCTCCATACACAACCCACACTTGTGTAAAGGGCAGGATGCACACTAGTTAACCTCTCCTACGTTAACGCCAGTCACATATTCGCGTGGTACACCCTGTTATCACTAACGAAGCTCTGCTGACCGAGTTGTGGGGGCATAGGCTAAAAGGTTACATCTGAAGTGAAGTAGCCTAAATGTCACGAACTTAAGGCACTAGTTTATTGCGAAGGAGCCATTCGAATGGGAAAAAGTTGTCATTGGAACCACGGTTCCGGAGAATTTGACGTAAATACGTCTACACGGAAAGGAAGTTTATATATTGGCTTTATTCTAAATATTTCCTTTATAAATGCTCTACAATTGAGATACGTTTGATTAAGACATTGATTATACAACTTCAATTAGTTACGCTTAAAATGGGTCTGTGGTAGCTGAATGTAATGTAAGGTAAGGTAACGTAATGCTCCTCCCTTCCTTGACCTCGGCACTAGACGGGGGTGAGTGGTCAGCATCACGCCCCGGCCGGTTTTACCCCCGGGAAAGGACCCCGGTACCCATTGTAGAGGAGGCTGGGTGTGCCCCAGAACCGGTCTGGACGCAGAGGCTAGAGGAAAAGTCCTCTGCCCCCGTCAGGGGTCGAACCCCGGTCGTCCAGCCCGTAGCTAGTCACTATACTGACTGAGCTATCCCGGCTAGTACTATAGTTAATAACAATGCTAAGTAAAGAGATGACGTTTCCTAGGTAACAAAAATTTCGAGTAAACATTTTTCGTTTCCATTTTTCGTAACACATTTTTGCCGAATGACCCTTCCTCATAGACGTATTTACGTCAAAAAATACAACGGCCTAAATCAAGAGACCAACTTATGATCGTATAACCATTACATTTGGCGTTATGGAGATAAAACTATCAAAATGAATATGAAGTTCGTTCTGATTATGCCACGTCGACTATAAATACAATAGGCCTCAAACCCAAACAAGCCATATTTAAAAGTAATGGCCTGGATACGGCAGTCCTCGATTCCTTCAGAAGAGGACCGCGGTATGTACCTGTGCAGTGTAACCTGTTTTACCTCCTTCAACGTCTAATTGCATGACATTTCACCTTTTCAAAGCACTCCAGGGTTTCGTGCGGTAAACAGTGCAAACGAATAGTTTTTCTAACACAGATGCATTTCTGTTTGACAAAGGAACCGACTTTGTAAACGTTATTCAAGCAAGATTCCCTTCAGCAAAATGTATTTTACATCCAGTTAAACATCCAAAATCGTGTTTTTAAAAACGAGCAACACTAAACTCCAACTCAGCGACTATAAAATTAAAATACAGGTAGGACTCGGTTTACGCCGGAATTAGATTCCTGAGATTTCCGGCGTAAATTTAAACAAAAACATAATCTTAAAATATGTAAATACATTAGGTTGCTGTTGCAGTCAGGTAAATCAATAACCCTTCTACGTAGCGATTGGCCGACAGCAGAGCTCACAAACATACGAACTCTAACGGAGAGAAAACTAAACAGAAAATGACGTGGTTCGATTCGATTGGACAGACATGTATATCGGCTTTCCTACAATTGCGTAAAAACATATATAAGTGACGTCAGTCAATTGTGTTGCGAGATCCACAAGTAGGTAACCAATGTAAAATCTTTGAAATATAAAGGCATGGTAGTGACTCAAACATTAGATTGCTCTATAATTTAAGAACATTCAAAAATTCGAGTTTTTAATTTCCCGCAATCGATAATAAAACTCATACGATGCCTTAACATAGACAACTTGAACACGCCACGGCGCATCACCTTCTGCGCAGTTGCCCCATTAACCTAACCTAACTCAACCCTATAGCGGTAATCTGCGTCAGCTGAACATGACGACCTGCAGACGAATTTTCGAAACTAACCATGGATGGTCGGAAATTGCTGAAATTTTGTATGGATGTCGTGCCAGAGGTAAGTAATAAGATTTCGTACTCATTCGGGTCACAACACTTGTAACAAATTCACACCAAGGCATCAAAGTCCCGAGGTGGAAGATACGCGAAATCGACCACGATCACCAACATCCGACCTTATCAACATGGAATTACCCACAAAATCCTTTCTTTATGTTTTCTAACTGCTGCCTATACGTGCACAGATACGTCATAAGACTAAAAAATGCACAAAATAAAGTGTAGAAATATTTTTATGGCGAATAAAATGACAGTGACTAAGGTTATGTAAGCGCGTTGTAGCCTCATACGTAAGGATTCGCGCACAGAAATCACCATACGTAAATAAGGGGGTTACAATTGAATCCAAACTCATTCACGTGACGGAAATTAAGAGAAACAACAAATAAATATGCAATATGAATTGAGAAGATCAAAAACCATTCCGAAAAATTATGCAATTGTTCGTATGCATTGAATGTAGCGTACAGATGGTAGCATGTGTAAAAAGACATTCCGAATTAGACTGGTGATGGCGTTGCAGTTGCTGTTGCAGTCAGGTAAATCAATAACCCTTCTACGTAGCGATTGGCCGACAGCAGATCTCACAAACTTACGAACTCTATCGGAGAGAAAACTAAACAGAAAATGACGTGGTTCGATTCCATTGGACAGACCTGTACATCGGCTTTTAAATACGTGAGATTGATTGTAGCCCCGGAAGTGAAAGTCAGTCTTTATTGATTTTCGTCCAGAGGCAGTGCAGTCTCCGTGCTTCAATGTTTGCCTCGGAATTTAGCTAAGAGGTATTCACCTTCTTAAGTTCAAGCTTTCGGACCTTGCTACTCTAACAAATATGTTCATCGGGATAATTAGTAACATTTGTTACCTGCGATACATATTAAACTACTGTGTGCTTCGTACAGAGAAGACGAGAGGACGTTCTCCTTCCAGTGTCGTATGCAAGATGGAGCCAAGTACAAAATTACACTTACGGCCCGAACTACGTGTTCGTGTGTATTGCCGAGATGTGTCTTTAAACTCCGTAAATTAACTTTCGACATTACACGTGTGCACAAAAGAGGCGAGAGTTTCTTATGGTGACAGCCAAATAAATTCCAGATGTACCTGATTTACTGAAGTTGGACGTGTCTAAATGTGACGTGTGTGAGCATATGTATACATATATATATATATTTCTGACAAGCCTGACCTTTGTAATAACTCGATACATTTTAAAAATAAAATTTTGACATGTGTATTTATGATTCTTAAGCGGAAGCATACTACAAATGCAATTCAACAACTACAATTGCTTAAAGACATGCACAAGTGACGTGAGCCAATAGTCTTTCGAGGTCAACAATAAGGTAACCAATGTAAAATCTTTCAAGTGTAAAGCTATGGTAGTAACTCGAGCAACAAGATTGTTCTATAATGTCAGAACATTGAAATATTTGATTGTTCAATATCCCGCAATCGATATTAGAACTCAAACGATGCCTTACCACAGACAATTTGCATCACGTCACTGCGCATCAACTTCAGCGCAGATGACCCATTAACCTAACCTAAC